AGTGACGTAACAGACTTTGCTTTGAGTGCTGTTTAAAACAATATAGTTATAGAAAGTTTAAAAAAACTAATAAACTCAACAAAACAGAAAAGAAACTGTTCTCTGAGTTTCTATTGGAAAAAATTATCATCTTAATTTTTTTATGTTTTTAGTTGTCACAATAACCTGCAATGTGCAAGGTGATTTTTCTTCCAGCAGCATTTTTTCTAACTTTTCAAATAAAAGAAAAAACCTTGGCAAAATTAGGTTAATGTTTTGCTAATTTTCTAGAGTGTTATGGAACATGTTGGCAAAATAAGACAGTAATGGTTGTTGAAGCTCGAAATTAAACTCCTTCTGATATTTTTTTAGCAAGTTGAGGCACAATTTTTTAGCCCAGAAAAAAAACTGAGCGAAAATGATGGTATGCCTTAAAATTCATGATATACAAAAGTGATGATAGCCGTTTATTATGGATGAAACAGACGTTTTCTGCAAAAAAAAACGAACAGCTCGGGCGATAATCGTTTCCATTATATGCGCATAATCGTAGTACCCTAGAGCTGAAAAGTAACAAGATTGATTGTAACTCAAGGCAGAGCCATGGAAGTTCTGACCCCTCCTTAAAGTTCAAGGAAAAGTTTTGTTTTTCAAAAATAAAAACGAATTCAAAATTTAATCAGCATTTCTTTTGAGAATTTCAAAAAGTTTGAGTTTTTGTAGATGCAAAAAGATTCTGAAAAGAACAAAGTGAGGCAATGTGTCTAGCAATTTAATAATAAAGTCAGTAGTGGAGGTTGGAGTTGATCATAGGAGCCCTGAAAAACGTTGTGCATGAAGATACGATGTGAATTTCAGGCCTTCTTTTGATAATTAATTTTGATATTTTAGAAAGTTTTGATTAAAAATTATTTTTCCGCTAAACAGATAGGGCTCATTATCTAATTTGTAAACATCTATTGTTCAAACCTTTCTGAATACCCTTTGTGTCTCTTTATTTTTTCTAACTTATTATGCGGAAGACCCAAGATCTATAAGGTAACTTATTACATAGGATTTTCCAAGGCCGCCTATGATCAGCTCCAACGTCTACTACTAGCGCTTAAAGATTTCTGAGTAGGATTACCTCACTAATTGAAACACATCCCCTCTCACTAATTGGAACGCATTATCGGTCGTTTTTGTCTCAAAAACTATGCAATCTGGCTATTTTGAATTCAACAATACTTTACAAAAAAACTCGCAGGGAAAATATATTTTTGAAATTTTGTACTTTGTGCTTCAAAATGTTTTAGATGAACTACAAAACTTCGTTCTAAACAGGCTAGTCCAAAATCAAAATTTTGAATGTGAAAAAAATCACACCTTCGAAAGTCGGAAAAAAGATTGCTTGTATCAAGGCGAGAACATAATTATCCGGCTGACATTTATCGTGAGTGACGTAACAGACTTTGCTTTGAGTGCTGTTTAAAAAAATATAGTTATAGAAAGTTTAAAAAAACTAATAAACTCAACAAAACAGAAAAGAAACTGTTCTCTGAGTTTCTATTGGAAAAAATTATCATCTTAATTTTTTTATGTTTTTAGTTGTCACAATTACCTGCAATGTGCAAGGTGATTTTTCTTCCAGCAGCATTTTTTCTAACTTTTCAAATAAAAGAAAAAACCTTGGCAAAATTAGGTTAATGTTTTGCTAATTTTCAAGAGTGTTACGGAACATGTTAGCAAAATTAGACAGTAATGGTTGTTGAAGCTCGAAATTAAACTCCTTCTGATCGTTTTTTAGCAAGTTGAGGCACAATTTTGTAGCCCAGAAAAAAAACTGAGCAAAGATGATGGTATGCATTAAAATTCATGATATACAAAAATGATGATAGCCGTTTATTATGGATGAAACAGACGTTTTCTGCAAAAAAAAACGAACAGCTCGGGCAATGTCCGTTTCTATTATAAGCTCATAATCTTCGTACCCTAGAGCTGAAAAGTAAGAAGATTGCTTGTAACTCAAGGCAGAGCCATGGAAGTTCTGACCCTTCCTTAAGGTTCAAGGAAAAGTTTTGTTTTTCAAAAATAAAAACGAATTCAAAATTAAATCTGCTTTTTTTTGAGAATTTCAAAAAGTTTGAGTTTTTTTAGATGCAAAAAGACTCTGAAAAGAACAAAGTTAGGCAATCTGTCTAGCAATTTAATAATAACGTCAGTAGTGGAGGTTAGAGCTGATCATAGGGGCCCTGAAAAACGTTGTGCATGAAGATAAGATGTGAATTTCCGGCCTTCTTTTGATAATTAATTTTGATATTTTAGAAAGTTTTGATTAGAAATTATTGTTCCGCTAAACAGTTCGGGTTCATTATCTAATTTGTAAACATTTATTGTTTAAACCTTTCTGAATACCCTTTGTGTCTCTTTACTTTTTCTAACTTAAAGTGCGGAAGACCCAAAATCTATAAGGTAACTTATTACATAGGATTTTCCAAGGCCGCCTATGATCAGCTCCAACGTCTACTACTAGCGCTTAAAAATTTCTGAGTAGGATTACCTCACTAATTGAAACGCATCCCCTCTCACTAATTGGAACGCATTATCGGTCGTTTTTGTCTCAAAAACTATGCAATCTGGCTATTTTGAATTCAACAATACTTTACAAAAAACTCGCAGGGAAAATATATTTTTGACTTTTATACTTTGTGCGTCAAATTGTTTTAGATGAACTACAAAACTTCGTTTTAAACAGGCTAGTCCAAAATCATAATTTTGAATGTGAAAAAAATCACACCTTCGAAAGTCGGAAAAAAGATTGCTTGTATCAAGGCGACAACATAATTATCCGGCTGACATTTATCGTAAGTGACGTAACAGACTTTGCTTTGAGTGCTGTTTAAAAAATATAGTTATAGAAAATTTAAAAAAACTAATAAACTCAACAAAACAGAAAACAATTTGTTTTCTGAGTTTCTATTGGAAAAAATTATCATCTTAAAATTTTTATGTTTTTAGTTGTCACAATTACCTGCAATGTGCAAGGTGATTTTTCTTCCAGCAGCATTTTTTCTAACTTTTCAAATCAAAGAAAAACCTTGGCAAAATTAGCTTAATGTTTTGCTAATTTTCAAGAGTGTTACGGAACATGTTAGCAAAATTAGACTGTTGTTTTGATAGTTTTAAGAGTTTTTGATATCTTTTGTTACAATTGTTCATATTTAGGACACTCATGAAGCTTTTCTCTGGATTTGTACCAAATACGGCGATTTTCGGTTAGATTTTGCTCCTTCCTCACTTGCTGAATAATTTTTGATACAGTGGGACGAGCACAGCCCCTTTTGTTTGAAAAACTCTATGCCATCCTCCGACCGAAAAATTGGTTTATTGATTTCCAATTATATGGATGAATTGATTTCCAATAAAATAGCTGGTTTGAAATCTGGACTTCTTCGTAGAGTTTAACGTATATACTCCTACGTTATTTAAAATAATCGTTAAATGACCGGAGCTGCTCATTCTCAGTTGTGACGTAGAGAGCTCCTAGTGCCGACTCCAAGTAGCGTTCAGAAATGAGAGCAAAAGCAAAAAAGGATTTTCCTCTCTCATGTCTTTTTCTCTTCTGTATTAAACCACCAGTCCTAATTCTTGAGTTTCTGTATTTTTTGCAAATTGGCCTACGCAAAACCAAAAAAGCATCCTTTCACACACGTTGTGAGGAGTTCCGACTTGAAAGCAAAATTGCTGCTTTTTCGAAATCATTAACAACTTTTGCTGGCTCCTATAGTGGATTGCACCCTAATTGCTTGTTGGTTGTTGTAGAGTTTTTTGTTGTAATAGGAAGTAAACAACCGGGAGGGAGCTGTTGTTTTTATTAGTAACTACAGCATATAATTGATAAAACAAGGATGGAAAACTTTTAAATGTGCCATCAGCGGGCCAAGTAATGAAACTCACTAAAATGTCCACGTTTGTCTCAGTGGTGAACAAAATAAGTCAGTCGCAATCCCCCGGCCCCGAGTCATGAGCCAAGAAGCTCTCTCCCCTTAGAGCTGCTTAAAGTTCCATGGGAAATGCATTGTCCCCCATGGTCTCTGGCTCTTGCGCTCTTGCAACCGACATAAGATTGATCACAATTGCTGCACACTCTACCAAAACAAGGCTCGTTACGTTTTAATAAATAGATTGAGGTTATTCCTGTATCTTTTGCGCTCGTTCCCGTTTTTGTTGCATGTCAATAAAACATTTTGGAGTGTTTATATTTTGCACCCCAAGAGGTGTTTCAAACAGTAGGGACGGATTCTCGAAACTGTTTTTCAATGTTTGCATACATTCTTCACAATTTTTAATTGCTATGCAAGTGAACGTCATGCTTTTTACCTTTTTTGAACCAAAATTGTTGACATTTCAAATTGAAAAAATGCCAAAAAGTTCAGACACCTATAGAGATTGTACTTTTCAACTTCTCGTTCTGAGGCAACACGTATTGTAAGTGATCCAAATTTTTCTCCACGAAAAAACTATCACGTGGGAATACTTGTGATTTACAAGGTATTTTTGAGCTTCTCCGAAATGTTAATCCCCTTTTTATCTAAATCGAACTTCTTTGAATTTTTTTAATCTTCAAATGTCAAGATTCATTATTCGCGCTGACTTGTAGTGAAATGCAACATTATTTGAATGAGTGTTAACATGTTTAGAAACCAAGCCAAAATGATGATTTACCAATTGATACAGTCAAGATTTTGGACTCAAATCATATCTTCCCCCAAAAACAGTTGTGAATTAAGTATAAAATTAAAGAATATTTCGTGGGGGATTACTGTCTTAGCGTTTTGCGAGTCGACGTAATTGCCATTTTACACGAGTACTCTTTTTTGCGAATTGTCTTTTCTTGTGATTTGTCTTGTTACGTGATTGCATCATACCGCATTTAAGAACAATTTATCACTAATTCGATCTATCTCCAGTGAACTCCTCAACTTTACTTTGAAAACTACTGACTATTTAAAAACATTTTTATGATCAAAAGTTATGCTAGTTTATGAATAGTTTTCTATGTTTGCGCATTTCTTAAATTTTATTTGATGCTCCATTTTTGATATATATTAATTTCTGCTGGACTAACTCTAAAAATATAATTAATCAAATTAAAATAAGTTAGCTTCTAGGTAACTTTTCAATTGAATCCTTTCTAAAGACTGACAAGAACTGGATCGAACGCAAACGTTGTGGGATGACCTTCGTGCAGTCTGTTGGAACACGCAGTGCCGTTCTGTTTAGACCAATCAAACGGCTCCTGTTGCTCATGTGTTGGTCCGCTAATAGCAATCATCTGCATTGATTTCACCAAGCTCATTCCGACCATTTTCAAATCAGTCGCTCCGTGACATCTCGAGCCTTCTGCTGCAATTTTACAATTTTGAGTTGTAGGATTCAACTCACATCTGGCGCTGATACCGTTTTCAGCACTGTAAGCTAGAGGTGTACAGTTTGCCTTTGCGTAAGGATCGTTCTGATAGTCATTGTAGCGCATTAAAGCTATGCTCGAGTTTAAGTCGACAACTTTCGAGAGTTCTCGTCTGAAAATATTAGCTCGAGGGCAATGGTCATGCGAAAAAAAACGGCCCATACTCATTTATGTACGCAGTGTAGTTGTTTTTTTCTTGGGTCTCAGTAAACGCCGGAATGTTGTAGCTAACCCATGCATTCAGATCCAATTCCAAAGATTCTGACATGTCTTTGGTGACAACAAAACCCGGCATTTGTTCCAGAACGTACAGAGTTCCGGGTCCAATTGGAGTATGAGGGGCAAATTTTTTGTAATCAACTACCATCCATTGGTTATTGTAAGTTCCAGAATTGTACATCGCGAAATATTTGGTCCAGTCGAGCCCTGATTTGCTGAGACGATTAGCCAATGAGACTCGAAGAAAATAGGGTACGGATCCGTTCGGTACAATGAAGTCGTAGAGAGTGTCATTTTGAATGTCATTTGTTGTCTCGATTATGACAAGTTTCTCATTTGTGACGTAGTAGTCGTCAACTGAGTGAACTATTCCGGGGTAGGAACTTTCTAGAATTTGGTGGCCTGGGATGTTATCGTTGCTTGTGGGGTTCATTTTGAACTTCAGATTGTACTTTTTCAAAGTTCTCAACATTGTACTGTAGTCAGACCAGGTGACGTGCGCAGCAATAAGGTCATCGCCCGTGTATCTTATCATGGCGCTGCAAGAGCCGGATCCCATCGTCGACTTACCCCTGGCATACTTCATCTGGATGTCGGTCAGTTCGGTCAAGTACCAATTGTAGATCCAGAACAAACCCATCGGGTCTATAGTTTGGGATACTTTTGCAGGCAAACCCAAATAGCCATCCTCCATGCCTTTGATTTGATACACCAACAACCCTGCTTGGTACCAATAAGTGTCATTTAAATTTTTCTCGATCATTTTCATTACGTAATTGAAGTTATCAACTAGGAAATTTTTTACATCTCCAGTAGGAATTATGTCTTCGACGTATTGGTTGATAAAAGACTGGTTGATCTGTTTATAAGTCATAAACCCTTCCAGATATCCTGCGCTGTACGCCTGGACTGAATCAGGATAGTCTGGATTCGATGTCAATGTGAGGTATGTGAAACCCTCTTCCTCGATTTTGATGATGTAGGTTGCTTCGACAACCCAACTTTGAGGCTCCTGCGAAACGATGTACGGACCTCCATCGGAATCGAGAGCCACGTAAAACGTGTGTTCTTCTGAACATAGGCAAAGTTTCAAAAGCGACACGACGAACACGAATGAAATCACTTTACTCATTTTTTGTTCGCAATAATAAAGTTCAAATTCATAAAATTATCGCGTCAACTCATTTCGGCAAACATCGGGAAACAATGAATTTAATAGTTTCCGGTAGATTTTAACATTGATAGTATTGGTGCTATTTAAATACCAATTAAAGAAACCATGAGAACAATGGGCAATATCTACAAAAACTTGAAGATAATCTTTGAACTTTGGCATATTCAAATCAATTTTGGAAAGGTCAAAATGTCTGCTAGCCTCATAATCAAACACAAAAGCGTCGCTGGTCGAGAGAAAATTGAATAAATGATCACACAACTTTGTTAATAACACAGTAAAATATAGAAAATGATCAATTAAAAACTCAAATAAAAAAAAGGATAGCCGGTTACTGTGCAAGTAGCACAGAATTATCCGAACATAGTCTTTAGAAAACTAGGTTTAGAAAGTTTTTTTTTTCAAATTAGTGTAGTTTTTTTCTGCTTGCGGTAATATAGAAGATCTGACGTAAAAATAAAATTTAGTTATTTTAGACAGTCATAGTAATATAGGCAAAATGGACAATTTTTTTGTAGAAAATGACTAAAAAACTTTAAAAAGTTTTGAATTTTTTTGAGGTTATTGGTTTACAAGTTGAAGCTAGAAAACTCCAAAAACTTATTTACCTTGCTAAAAATTAAGTTTTAAGGTTTTATTTAAATAAGGCATAATTAAGCTGTTGTACGCCTGCTCACTTGCTTTATTTGCTCGGAGTTATTTGGAAATTTTTAAATACGGTTCGAATCACAACTGAAAGTGCTTTGATATGATATATCACTCAACCCAGCCCGATATTATTCGTTATTAGTAGCAAAAAAAACTAAAACACACCCGAATACAAAGTAACTCCCGATTTTTCAAATGGTCGGAACAATTAAAGAAGTCCATGAAAAAATTTTATTTGAAAAAAATTTATAAGCAAGGATAACCGGTTACTGTGCAAGTAGCACAGAATGTTGTGACCAGTCTTAAAAATTTACAACATAATTAATTTTCCAATTAGTGTCGCTTTTTCGGCTTGGTGTGATAAAACAATCTGAGCGAAAAAGTAGAGCTAAACATTTTCGTCAGTCAAGTAAAATGAAAAACGTTTTTAGAGACAATTAACAAAAAAAAACAAAAAAAAACAAAAAATCAAATTTTTTGTAAAATAATTTTTTTAAACTTTTTACCAAACTTTTAAATTTTTTGGTTCCCAAGTCAAAGCTGAAAACTCCAAAAAAATTCATTAGAATAAAACTAAATTTTAAGACTTAAGCTAAGCATAAATAAGCTAATATGTAAGCCTGCTCACTGGCTCAAAATTAGACGAAAAATGAAAAATTTCAAATCGTTTTTAAAAATTTTTTTTAAAGTCGATCAAATCACGACTAAAAGGTTTTGATATGATATATCACTCAACCCAGTCCGATGATTTTTAGTGGTAGCGAGGAAAACAAAAACAAAGACTGCTTGCTTGCTTTATTCGCTCGAATAAAGACAAAAAATTAAATTCGGTTAATCTCGACACTAGAAAAATTTTTTGAAATTTTTTAAAATTGGTTCGAATCACGATTGAACGGGCTTTAATATGATATTTTACTCTAACCTATCCCATGATTATTTGTGCTAGCTGATTTTGCGTAGAAAACAAAAAGAAGAAGGAAAAAACTGAATTATACCCGAATACAAAGCTCCTCCTCATTTTCAATGGTCGGAACAAAATCCAGATGTAGAAAGTATAAAACTTAGGTCAAATTAAAGCATATTATTGCATATTATTTATTTTTACTCTAACATATTGCATATTATGTATTTTTACTCTAATTAACATTGGATATTATGTATTTTTACTCTAATTAACATTCTCCGCAACAGAAATTCTCAAAAAAAAACTATTGTTCTGACCTTCGAAAAAAGTGAACGACTTTTTGTACTTTATGACGTTTTTTCTTCCAACATTTTTTTAGATCAGCCAGTTTCGGCAGAGATATGTTTTTTTCCAGATAATTGATAAAATCTCGAGCCCAATTTCAAAAAGATATTTCACAGCGATTATTTTTGTAAAGTTATGCGTTCTTTTAAATTTGCCAATATAGGGTAATTAACAAAATTTTAAAAATGATGCTGTTAAAGCGCTAGTGGAAAATTATTCCGCCTTGAAAAAACTTTCCAAATTGAGGCAAGTTAGTGCTCTGACTTTCGAAGGAAGTGAAGGAATAACTTTGCTCGAAGTGGTTTATTTCTCCAGATCAATTTTGACTTTTTAACTGACAATTTTTGAACGGTCCAAAGTCCAAAAACTAGTGGTGCCTTGAGTTTAATTTTAAAAATTATTTCTTCTCTGGTTTTTTTTATCAGGAATTGAAGTTTGTCAATCTGGCTAATTTGAGACAATTAACGCAGCAAATAATTTGTGATATTAACGCGTAAAAGGATATTTAATGCAATCAAAAATCGTTCCAAAATAAATTGAGTCGAGTTATGTGGTGTTACCAGACGGTAAAAGCATCACTTTGGACCTAACATACCTTTTTCCATGAGGAGACTTTAAAAAAATTTTCTGAAAATTTTATCAATTGTTTCCAAATGATGCTTGAAAAAGCTGTTTCAAAGACGTTTTAGAGCAGTCAAATCATTAAGAGCTTCGCCTTAGTTTGAGCAGCCTTGTTTGGTCGCGCTTAAACGTTACTGGACGCTTCTTACATCACTTTGTATTTCACATGAAGTCTTTAAAAACTTTCTTTTTTTTTTTGGAAAAAGCATCACTTTAAAAACCTCATAGACAACTTAGGTCAGTCACGAAACTCAAAGATTCACCTGAAATTATTAACCAGTATTCCAAAAAATCATGTTAAATCAACTCGCGTGTAACGCACCTCCGTTGCTACGAATTTTTTACAACACATGAAAAACCTCATATATTGGAAAAAAGATCTGCATCCTTTGAAGGTATTCTGACTGCACTCAATTACAGGGTTGTTAAATTCAAATTTTGAGAAGCTTCAAAGTTAAATTTTCTAAAAATTTATACAAACGCTTTATCTCGAAAACTACAAAAATTTGAGCAGCCAAATTTGGAGGCAATATTTGCAACTCCTGAGAGTACTCTGACAGCTCCTAACTACACATTCGGAGTTTCCAGCTTTTTTTTCAAAAAAATTTTTAACTAAACTATCTGAAGTTTGTTGAAAAATACTTGAAGATTCAGATCTCGAAAACTACAAAGAGTTGTGAGGTCACACTTGGATGCAAAATTCGCAACCCCTCGGAGTGCCTTGGAAAAATAATCTTATAGAGATGAGAGCTTATTAAAGTGGTTGAAACATTTAAGAAAAAACATAACAAACGTCACATCTCGGAAAATAAGAGCATTCAAGCTGTCACAATTGAACGCAAGTTTCGCAACTTGGATCTCCTGAGAGTTCCCTCACATACGCAACTACAAGATTGGAAAATTCAAATCTTTTGGAATTTTTCAAAACTTAAATTTTTCAAAAAAATAGTAAGAAATCATAATTTCAAATTTCGTTATTTACTAGTTTGATTGAGTTAACGGAAATTTTTTGAAGAAGTCACAAAAATCGTCGTATCTCGTAAGCTTAAAAAAGTTTGGGCATTCAGAATTCGAGGCCAAACTCGGAACCCTTGGGGAAACCTTGACAGCTTCCCACTATTGGGTTGCTCATTTTGAACTCGGTAGAAAAACACGAGTTCAAACTGTAAAATCGAAAAAAAATTCTTTACTAGTCTAAAATACGATATAGCTTAACAGTGAAAAAGTTCTTTCGTTAAGCACGCAAAAATAATACGTTGAAAAAGCTTGAACGTGGCGAGATAGTGAAGCCCGCGTTTAAATACAAAATCCGGTATTTTAAAAACCTTAGTGAACATGAAAGCAGCTTATACAAATAATTAAAGTCCCATTCAACTGGGATTCATAATCCAGCGTAATTATTTTTTAGTTATCATGCTCCTTTTTCTTATATTAGTTATAATTTCAAAGAAAAATTGAGCAATAATATTAAAATTAGACGCCACATATACATCCGCTGGTAGAAACCTGACATCACCCCAACAAAAAGTAGACAATCTCAAATTTAAAAAGTACTGATTTGAAAATTTATGTTTTTGAAAATTTTCAAAGAGATAAAAACGTCATATCTCAGAAACCAAAAAGCGTTGCAGTCACAATTGGAGTTCAAAAAAATTTACTGAGAATACATTGAGAGCACTGCGTCGTAGTGAAATGTCCTGAGAGTACATTGAGAGCAATTTGATGTGGTGTTGAGGACTTCGAACTTAAAAATTATTTTAGATCTTAAGTTAGAAACATTTTTTAGATCTTTAGAAAAAAATTGAAAAAAGAAAAAAAAAACGACATATTTCAAAAACTAAGATGATTTGAGCAGTCAAATTTGGAGACAAGATTTGCAAACTAGGAGAGTAGGAAAAGAAAACCTCACTGTAGTGTTCGGACTTTCAAATTTTGCAACGTTTTTATTCAATTCATCTTTTTTGAAAACTATTGAAAAAACGTCATATCTCAGAAAATAAAAGTTTTTGGGATGTCATTTCGAAGATATGTTTTGAACATCCTGAGAATAAATTGACAGCACCTCATTACAAGGATGGCATTTTCATATTTTTTGGGTAATTTTCAAATCTAATTTTTCTGAAAGTTTCTGAAAAACACAAAAATGTCAAATCTCGGAACATCAATGTCAAAGATTTAAGCAGTCACTTTTGGATGCAAAATTTGCAGCGTCTGATAGCACCATGACAGCACCTTCATTATAAAGTTGAAAATCAATTTTTATTAAGTTTTTTTTTCATCTAAGTTATCTCGTCACATCTGGGAATTTAAAACGAATTTAGCAGTCATATTGAGTATTTTAATTCAGCATTTTATCACTGTACTGCTAGTTGAAACAAATAACTAGAGCATTTTATCATTGTACTGCTACTTGAAACAAATAATTTTCTTCGGTTCATTTGATGAACTAGACATGCATCAGCTGTGTTAACTTTTTACTAATCGAATATAAGAGCACATATGATATTATACTGCTACCGCAGCCTACCGATTCAAAAATGCTACCAAAAGTAGCAATTTTATTTGCGACTAAGATTAGAAAAAAAGAAACTTCTAACTAATACACTTTGCATAAACACAAGTGCCATATCTGTACTGAAGGCAAGGTGGAATACACACTTTGCATTCTAACGCGAGATCTTAATCGACAACTAAACGGCCGAAAACCATCAGCAAAAAAATGAAAATACTCATATCTATAATTATATATGCAAATAGATCTATCAAAATGTAGTGACAATTTTGACAAAAATGCACAGACATTAAAATTCGAAACAGGGGTGAAGCTGCGCTTCGCAATTACCAGCGAAGAAAATGCAAAAAAAGAGCTCTAAACAGGCAAAACAAACTGAAATACGGAAAATTGTTTAAACACCTCAAAAAATTTTAGTTGACATTAGGAGTATCACGTTTTCACATCTGCTCCACGACCGCTTGTAGTTTTACTAATTCTAGCCACCAATAAGCAGCTACAATTTCTATTATACTGCCAATGTTGTGCAGCAAAAATTCGACCAAAAAAAAAAAATTAAGAAAATTTTCCGGACATGAAAATCTGACTGTTGATTAGCATCTTACATGATCGAATCTGCGCCAAGTATAGTTGCAAGTAAAATACAAGTACCTGTTCCAAAATTGTTATTCATATGTTGTACTGATACAGAAAAGCGTTAATTTCCAAGTTTCAAAAAATGGAATTTACGCTAAAATCTAGCGTTTCTCTTCTCAAGTAGGGGATTAAGCGCTTATTTAAAGAAGAACACTTCTACTCGCTCTTTCAATTGAAGTCATCTCAGATTTGGCTGGGTATCTTTCCAAAATGAACAAGATTCCCAAATCGATCATCCTTTCCTACATCCATAAAGTTTTCTCTACTAATGCATGGGAATAGCCTCTGCTTTCTGATTTGCCCCATGACTTCTAGATCGAAAATTTCTGACCCTGTTTTTTAGATTGAGTCCTGTAGACCAGATTTAGCAAGTAGTTTTAGAGAATAACGACGAAATTTCTTTAAAAAAGGTATAAATTAAAAAAGAATTTTTCCGAAGTCCATAACAGCTTTTTTCAAATAAAAAACAAGGTAAAACAGATCACATAAGCAAAAACAGCACCTGAGAATGAGATATCCCTTAAATTGTTCTTTCGATTGTAACTTTCATCTCTGATTTGTGCATTTAAAATTTATTTGAGAAAACGAAAAAATTCAAAAGGAGGCCAAAAATCCCCCTACTGAAACTTTTGAAGGCCGTATAACGTAAGGTAAAGTGAAAATAGACGAGCGAATTATGCAGGCACATAGAAGAGCAGCCGATTTTTCCATTAACACTATTTTTCTAAAAATCGTCTTGGTAGTTTTTGAGAAAAATTGAAACTTCTCCGAAATGTGTTCAAAAAAATTACGAAGCGTTGCAAACAAAAATGAAAAACAGTAAATCCCATACATTTTCATTATATGTTTTTTTTTAAATCGATCTAATCGAAATATATTAAAATTGTCACCAAATGAGCACTTATTTTGCGACTTCGGTTGGAGAAAATTTTCTTAATAATACACTACGCTTCGCTTGTGTAATTAGCATCAAAAAAACTTGCCATGCCGGAACAAACCCTTCAAGCTATAAAAAACTGGACCGAACAAAAAATTTTAAGTTCCCCTCTCCCACAAAACACACGCAAACAAAACTTTTATTGCTCATCAAACAGCGCAATATGAGGCCACTAAGGCGATAAAAATTAACCCAGAAAAAGGACGAAAATAAAAACCTAAAAAAATCGAGAAAAATACAGCAATGAGTTTTAGACGGGCGAGGTGACGCAAAAATGTACATGGTTATCACCCTTATTTTCAGGTAGAATACGATCCTCCAGCTTTGAGTATTCGACGTCAGGCTGTAAGATTTTAACAAGAAAGCGGCAGAGTATAGAGAGTTTATTGAGCAATAAGAAATCTGACAAATAGTCGATATTGGGCGATTAATTTTATTAGTCCCAACAAACAAAAAGACGAACTAAGTGCGATGATATTATTACTTTTTTGATTCTAACGAGTGGTTATGTATGAATCCAAATAATTAATCTATGAGTCCAAACCGAAATTCAAGATTCTGTAATTGGTCGATATTTCGATATTTATTAGAAATTGCAGAGTAAAGATGATATGGTAACATTTGGTTAAGCGCAAAGTTGGCAACTAAGATGATGATAGTACATTATAGCTATCAGTGATATCATATTTCATCATAAATAGCAGCTAGAATACATCTAAAATGAAAACTTTCAATACCATTTCAATCAAAAAGTAAATTTATGTTTTTAAAAAGTATATATTGAAAACAATTTTTGGAACACAAATCAGCAGAAAGTTTCAAATGAAACTTACTTTGAACTTTTTGATTGAGATCTTCAAAAGATAGAACCCAAAGAAACAAGGTTGTAAATCTAAACTTCATTTCAAATACAGAAAAGTTATCATGATATGCTAAAAGAAGGCTGTTCGCTTCAATCTACGAATGATGATACGCGTGAACATAAAACTGCTCATATTCGTGTCAAAAATATCAAATTTTACATGGCTGCGTTTAAAAACGGATTAACATAAAACGAAGGATTATGTACAGAAAATTTAGAAACAAACATTTGGTAATTTAAGAAAAGATTATCATGTATTTGCTGGTTATTCCTGCGCCTGCAACAGCTCATACGTTATTATTGAAGCGCTAACTCGTTTAAAACTTCACTGACACAATCGCCTTTTGAAACCCTTACCAATTCAAATGTATGAAATTGGAAGATATACATTATGGGAAGAGGTTGAAACGCTGTCTAAAAAAATATCAAATCATAACACGCGGTTACAACTATTCCAAGCTCTTCTACTTTTCATTGCTTGATTACTTAACTTTTCATTGCTTGATTATTTATGAAGTTCACAAGTATTCAGTTTATTTGAACTGTAACTGTTGTCTGTACAATCTCATTCGCTCCTCTGGCGTCATATTTGAGTCGAACGATGCTGTCGGTTTTTGACTGGTCCTACTTGGCTGCTGTTGAGGCTGTTTTTGCCAGTACTCTCGGAAACCCGAAGGACCCGACAAATGTTCTCTTGATGTCGAGTCGCCTCGATTCATCGATGACATTGGGCTATTCTCATCCGTGCTATTTCCTGGCGAACTTGAACCGGGCTTAGGTTTGGGAGGAACTGGAGGTCTAGGTTTGTTCTGCGCGTTCTCACTTAGTGAGCTGTCCAGAAGACTATTTGAAGGATTGGATCGCAGGGAGTCTGATTCTGTGTTAGGCCTGTGTTCAGAGTAGGTGAGGTTTGGAGAGTCAAATTGCTGGGACAAAGATGGAGGTGGAGGTCTTAGAGGGGTCATACTCGAGCCAGTAGTCTGAAACAAAGCCAACAGAAGGTTGGAAAAGAGCCAATGAACGCAATGAAACAGAAGTGTTTATTTTTGAAAAAACTTCGACTTTCAAAGAAAGAAATATATGGTTCCAACCCTCTCTGAATTTCAAGACAAAATTATCATTGACGCTTTTTTGATAAAATTTACTCAATTTGAGAAAACTGGACGAAAAATAAAGTTTTTATTCCGCTGGGAAACCTAAAAATTAAATTCCACCTTCGAATCTAGAAGTCTTTCATGTTTTTTGCGCCACTTCCAAGTTCGTATTTGGAGAGGGCAATTTATCTAACGTTCAGCAGATGATTTTCATACATATCTGTAGTTATTAGAGTATTTTAGACTTTTTCTGGAAAAAAATTACCAAGACCTCTATTAAGAGTTTTCACTACATTCATCGACTCTAATACAATAAAAAACAAGAAACTTTTTAATATCTTTAAAAATAGGAATTTATCAATTCTGTAGAAAGCTAATAGGGAAACTAGAAGACAAGTACCGTTTTTTTCTTCATCGCAGAAAATAATCAGCACTTAACTTAGCAAAAACAATTTACAAATAGAAATAGCAATGCGAGAAAAGGAGACAGAAAAGAAAAGGCCATCCAGTAAATCCAAAAAATGAATTGAAAAAAAAACCTGAACTAAAAAGCTTCAAAATGATGTCTGAAGTGATGCTCTACTTGCATGAAACACACGTCCGGAAACAAAATTGACGGCGTTTGATGAAAACTCAAAACTTGAGTAAATTCCTGTAGAACCGAAAACATAAATGTTGTCATGAAAAACTTTGAACTATAATTTATACTCTAAGCTTTTTAAAACTTCGCGCATTTCGGAGGGAAGCATAAAAATTGCATTTTCCTTGAAACGACCCAAAATTAGGACACTAAGCCAATAAAATAAAATCCGAAATCATTTGGGTCGGAAAAAGTTTTTAAGCGAAGAAAACATAGCCAACAGACAGTTGGAAAAGAGTCAAGGAATGCAAGGAAGCAAAAAATAATGAATGTTTTTGAAAAACTTCAACTTTCGAGTTCCAAAGAAAAAAACATATGGCCATAATTTTTTTTCCATTTCAACAACAAAGAGCAATTTGCATGAACAATTTTTGGTGACACTTTTTTGATAAAAATCAACCCAAACTAAGAACACCGGATCAATAAGTAAATTTTTTATTCCACTGGAAATCTAAAAAAAAAACAGAATCCACTTTCGAAACTAGAAGTCAATCACGTTTTTTGTGACCTTAACTTTTTATTGCTAATCGATAGTGGAATTTGATTTCTTTTAATCAAAGGACATGTAATCAAAAAAATTTAAATCACGATTGCCCCGAATGACACTCACATTGTACCAACAAAGAAAAGTTCAAGCGTAAAATTAGCATTACAAAACTAAGCCTTAATTAAACCGAGAATTTTAGGGTAGACGCTCTTTGAGCCGAAAAGACGATGTCATAAAAACTTGAGCTATAAACAATCTTGAATCAAAGTTATTTTAGAATGAAAATCTATTATCTTGAAATATTTTACAACAGATACTTCGGTCGACTGATCTATGAATTTCTTTTTATGCGCCAATATATACTAATACTGAGGGATGGAGCACCCCAAAAAACGCGATATTTTTAATCAAAACCTTTTGCAGAAAAAAATACTGCGGCGCAGAATTTTTTACCCCAATTGAGAGCACAGAAGCTGTATTAGATGGGCGTAGAAAAACCTGAGAAAAACCTTGATCCGCCCAGTATATAGCTAAATTTTTTTTTTCACAACGCTTTTATCCCCCCTTGACTCTAAATCTTAGCTTATCCACGTCTGCTTATACTGTTGCTCCTTCTCACTTTGTTCTGCGCATGAAGCGGCGGGGGCGGACTGTTGGGCTGAGTAGTGTTAAGGTTGAGGTTCCTCATCTGGAGTCTCTCCAGTTCCCTCTGCCACCTCATCTCCTCAACTCTCCTCTGTCTCTCCTTCTCCCTCTCCATCTCCTTCTCCAACTGGTAACTCTCCATTTCTTGTCTCTACACACAAATTATAATTTTAAACACAGCCCACAGACAGTTGGAAAAGAGTCAATGAACGCAGGTAAACAGAAAAGAAAGTCAACTTTCGAAAATTATTGAATTAAGAAACAGATGCCCTTTCAGTTCTATGAATTACTAGAACAATTTATGAAACACTACTTTGATAAAACCAAACCCAGTTTGAGAAAACTGGACCATTAAGTAAATTTTTCATTCCGCTGCGAAATCTGAATATTAAAATCCACATTCGAAACTAGAAGTCGATCACAATTTTTGTGACCTTTACACTTTTGCTGCTCGATAGTGCAATTTGTCTTCCTTTCAACAGAGGAAATGAACTGAGCTGAAGAAAAAGTAAACATAAGTCAAACAGCGAAAAAGTGAATTTGAGCCTGAACAAAAATCTTCCGCATCTGTATGGGAGTCTGAACTATGTTCATCGACACTTAATACTAATAACATTTTTCAGGTTTTTACATAAAAAAAGAGTATAATTGCCATCCCACTTCCAAGACAGAGAACGTCATTAGACAAAATTACGTGCTTTCAAACTTCTTAAGAATAATTATCAATTTAAAGAAAAAGTTTCCAGTGCTTCACTAAACCACGAGGTCAATTTTGAGAACTTAGCTAGCATCAATTCTACTAGCGATGCAACTACGTCTACAAAAACTTAACACGGTTGTCTTCGATAATGTTCAATTTGAGGAAAAAAAATCGAGAAGTCAATCACAAGCGTTAATTAAGCATCCAGGAAAATTTATCGAGCGGCAACTAAACCGAACATTCTTGGCTGGACTCATTTGTTGAACTGTAAGCAAAACTTGCCCTGAAAAAGCTCAGTTTTGAAACCCGGGAAACACAGAAGGATAAAATTATTTCCTCTTCAAACAATGCAATATAAGGTGACTAAATCGATATAATTGGGTAATTGAATTCGAATATATTTCAGCCAAAAATCTTTTAAATAAAAATAAACAAAAGTACAGAAAAAAATTCTAACAGACATTTACAAATGGAGAGCAAAAGAATGATCATTTTTCTCAAAAAAAATTACACGTCTGTTTAAAAAAATATATATCAAGTTTTTTCAGAAGTTTTGTTCCCACCGCTGAAATTGGGGAGGAACTTAGTCTTCGGGTGTTTTTTTAAAAAAAAACTTTCATGCAAAATGAGATACCACAAAAAATCATTAAAATGAGTCGAGTGATATATCATATTTAAATTCTTCAAGCCGTACTTCAAGCGATTTATGAAACTTCCAAAAGTTAACTCATTATCGAAAAACCGGTTTGAAAATTCAGCTTGTTGATCTAAATTTGAATGAGTAAAGCTAGCGAATAACGTTTTTCAAAAAGAAATTGGTTTTTAAAACCGCAAAAAACATAGTTCTACCAAAAAAAACTGGCTTTTGAAGATCCATGTAAGGCTGCGCTGGGACTTCAAAGTTGAAAAATTCTATGACAATGTGTGAAAAAATAAATTTTTTTATTATGCTATTCCTTTTGAAGACAACTAAATGTCACTATTGAGTGATTGACTTAAATTCTAAGCTTCATCCTCTACCCTCATTATAGTATTATACATAAAACAGCACAATTTTTTACGGAGATGAATCATTATACATAAAACTGCACAATTTTTTTACGGAGATGAATCTACACTTCGCTAGCGAAAAACGCCAAGATATAGGTTTAAAAGACTAAAAAAGAGAAAACAGCCGATGAGTTTGGATAATAAATTCCCTCTGTGGAAGGCCCTACACAGTAGAAAGTTTTCCACTAGAATGCCCCTACACAATTGTGCCACTGACGCTTATAGAAATGCAAGAAAATCAAGACAGCGGCAAAAAGATTTTCTAAATGCACTAAAACATAAATTTTGCAAGCAATTATTTGGAATATAAACATAGCCAACAGAAAGTTGGAAAAGAGTCAATGGACTCAAGTGAACTCAAGTTTCAAATTATTTACAAAAAAAATCTCATTCTTCAAAAAAATGGATGGCCCTAAAGCTCTTTGAATTTACAGAACAATTTATGATTAAGACTTTTATGATAAATTATATGAAATCTGAAATTTAAATTCAACTTTCGAAACAGAAGTCGATTCCGTTTTTCGTGGGATTTACACTTTCGATATAGTGAAGAAATGAGCTGAACTCAAAAAGAAATCAAAAGTTAAACAGGAAATAATCAAACCGCGAAAAAGTAAATTTTAAAACATTTCAAGACAAAAAACATCAGGACCTATATAAGAGTCTGAACTACGTTCGCCAACTCTTACTAAACTCAAGGCAAGCACACTAATTTGGCATGTAATGAATTGAACAGTACAAAGCCAAATGTACAAAATAAGCATTTCAAATTGTTCGCGAAATATACTGCGCTGGAAAATAGCTTGGAGTTTTTACACAATCGATAAATGCAAAAAAGATCTCTAAACAGGCAAAACAAAGTGAAATAAGGAAAAGATTTAAAATACACCTTGCAAATTTTTTTTAGATTAGTAGTACCACGTTCTCACATCTGCTCCGAAACCGATTATAAATTAAAACACTAGCTACCAATAAAACAGCTACATTTGCTATCAAATTTGAAAAAGTTGAATAATTAAGTAAAATGAAAACTAAGTTTGCTGGGAAGTCTGAAAATTAAATTGATCACGTTTTTTTTGTAATCTTTACACTTTCGCTGTTCGATAGTGGATTTTGCCTTCCTTTTAACAAAGCTACGGAAGAGTTAAGTAGGGGATTAACCGTTTATTTAAAAGCAAACTACTACTCGTTCTTTCAATTGAAGTCTTCGTCTGAGATTTGGCTGGGTAGTTCTAGAAAAAGAGAAAATGACCGAAATCCATATCCTTTTCTCTGCTAAAGCATGGGAATAGTCTGCTTTCCCTACCCTAATTTTTAGATTGAACCTTTAATAATAAGATTTAGCAAGTAGGTTTCGAGAAAACGGTAAGAATTATCAGTTTTTCTACCAAAAAATCAAGGTAAAACCGATTAAGTAAGAAAAATCTAAGCACCATGTTACTTTTGATGAACACTCAACCTCTGAATCATCAGGTGAGTTTTTGAAGAAAAAAAATCCACCAAACTGGCAAAATTTCAAAAATTTGACATTTTCTAAGGCCATCTGTATTTTTTCAAAGCGCAGGGCATAGCCGCTAGCGCAGGTAATATTCGCATAACTGATTTTTTTTGTTCGGCTAAATCAATAATCTCAGATTTGGCAGAATAGTTTTTGAGAAAAGTCAAAACGTTTCAAAAATTAACCATTGTAAAAAATGATCTTGTTTGAGGCCAGAACTTTTTTCTACCGATATTGGGAAATAGCCACTTAAGAAGGGGAGATCACCAGAATTTGTTCTTTTGAACGAAAACTTCATCTCAGATTTGTGCATTTAATATTTGAGAACATAGCCAATCGAAGATTAGAAAGGAGTAATGAGCGCAGAAAAAAAACACTGTTTTCGTTGAAAAAATCGCAACTTTCGAATTTCAGAGAAAAAAAATAGCTGTCCTTTAAGCTCTTTGAATTTCTAGAACGATTTATGATTGGCGCTTTTTTGATAACATTAATCCAACTTGAGAAAACTGGACGAACAGGTAAAGTTTTTATTCAGCTGGAAATCTAAAAAAACCAGACTGCTGAAAAAATGAAATTTAGGCCGATAAAAAAGATGAAAAGGGTGAAATTTCAACAAATCCAGCTGGTTAATTTACAACCAATTTGAAAAGCAAAACTCGATTCGGTCGGATTTTTAAAATGCTAAAAACAACTGCAGTTAAAAATAATAACAGCAAAAATAAACTATTCTTAGATGCAGCAACTAAGCCGACAAAACATAAGCAGACAAATAATAGGCCGAAACTTTTCTGAGCCGGAACAATCACCGTTTGAAAAAAAAATTGGTCCTGGTCAGATTCGAACCCACAACATTTGCCGTTCTAGGCGTATTCGTTACCACCAAGCTAAGCGTGCAAGATGAACTACAAAATTTGAATTATTCAAGAACCAAGGTTCCACCAGTTCAATGAATCCTGTGGTTAAAGTTGTTTACGTTGAAAAAAGTCTGGTACCCAAATGCATTACCTTTGCGATAAAAAAGCCTCTCGTATGTACTCACAGAACAGTTTTTCACTTCACAACCACAGAAGAAAATGAATCGATTTACGAATCCAATTCTAATACTTAAAGACACCTAAAACTAGAGCCTTTCAATGGTTTAGGGAAAATAATACCAAAGAGAAAAATAACACCGGCGTCTGGTACAACTTTACTTCACAAACAAAGTAGACCATAGCCAATAGATGTATCGATGAGCTCAAATAAACATAAAAAATACTAGTTTTTTTCTGATAAAATTAACCCAATTTGAAAAACTTGAATATTAAGTAAAATTAAAACTTTTATTTTGCTGGGAAGTCTGAAAATTAAACTCGAAAATAAAAACTGCTAACATTTTTTGTAGTCTTCAAACTTTCGCTGTTCGGTAGTGGATTTTGCCTTCGTTTTAACAAAGCTAGAGAACTGAAGTTGAAAAGAAACCAAAAAATAACCCCCAAAAAAACAGCCAATCGAAGTTTGGAAAAGAGTAAAGAACGCAAGTAAACATATAAAAAAACACTGACTTTCTTGAAAAAATCTCAACTTTCGATTGTCAAAGAAAAAAAAAGATGCCATTCAAGCTCTTTGAATTTCTAGAACGATTTATGACCGGCGCTTTTCGTTAACATGTTTGAAAACTGGATGGATCAACAGGTGAAGTTATTATTCCGCTGGAAATCTGAAAGTTAAATTCCACTTTCGAAATTTGAAATCGTTCATGTTTTTCGCGCGATTTGCACGTTCGTATTTGAAGAGTGCTTATTATGTCACTTTCAGCAGATGAGTTTCGATGAACTCAAAAAGTGCATAGTATACCTAAGTGCATTCATAAATGCTTCAATATTTATGAATGCACATCTGCAGTTATTAGAGACTTTTAAGACTTTTTCCTGAAAAAAAAAACAGCAAGACCAATATAAGAGTCTTCACTCTGTTCATTACTCTTAATTAAATTCCACTTTCGAAACTAGAAATTACGTTTTTTCGCGCCATTTCCACGTTCGTATTTGGGGAGTGCTATTTTTATAATTTTGAGCAGATGAATTTCAAAAAGTGCATATATACCTAAGTTCATTCATAAGTGCATCAATATGTATGAATGCACATCTGTAGTTATTATACTTTTTCCTGAAAACAAAGTACAGTATTTTTTGAGAAAAAATGAAATGCGTGGCAAAAAAAAAACGAAAAACAAATCCCATACATTTTCCCAATAAATGTTTTTTCAAACAGGACTTAACACAAGCCAAAAATGAGGCAGCAACATATGCTATTAACTTGTTTATCCTTAAAAATGATTAAACTCAAATATACCAAAAGTGCCAACAAATGAGTACTTTTATTTGCGACTTAGGTTAGGGAAAAAATCTCCGTAATAATACACTACGCTTGGTTTGTGTAAAAAAAATCATCGTAACAATACACTACGATTCGCTTATGTAACTATTGGGCTGGTGTATGAAATAAATGGCTTTCTTCGGCCTATTAGATGAATTAAAGATGCGTCAACTGTGTTAATATTTATTAATTAAATATCAAAGCACATGTTATTAAATAGTGAATTCAGTCTACTGCTGTAAATGTGCCACCAATGCTGATACTAATATTTGCGACTTAGTTCTTAGTTTGGGGGGGGGGGTGGTGTTATAATATCACACTACGCTGCGCATGTGTATCAAAACTGATTTAGTTTTCTGTATGAATGTGGGTCGAACTTTCTGTGCTAGTGGCGCAGCAACTGCCTAAGATTTACAGATTTTTGATAATCATACCCTCTGCAGGTATCTCTGTTTCTGTTCCTCCAGGTACTGGAACTGGTTCTCATTCGCAGTCTTAGCTGCCATACCAGACACTCCCTCTTGCCTTCTAGTTTCACTAGTGTTCTGCTGTTGAAGTCCATCTGAAGTCCAGCATACATTGTTATTAACCTACATGGTTCTTCGAGATTAAAAAAACAAATCATCAAATAATTAGTGCGATGCTGAAACTCAATACTCGAATTAAAACAAAAGGCCTGACTGGGAAGCCATCCATCATTAAGAGAAACCTTCTGAATTAAAAGAAAGCTCCCGATATACAGAAAACGTTCGCCGAAAAATTATAGACATTTCTTCATTGAATTATTTTTGCTCGTAACATAGCTATTGGTATACCCCTTCGGAACCTAAACATCCCTCTTTCGTTTCACCTTTTCCAGAAGCTTGCCCGCGATGTGAGGGTTTACCCGTTCGCTCGACTTACCATCGTCCCTTGGCACCGATGACATGGCTTCTATATCTGCCGCTCTCTGCTTGTTCTCCTGAATCTCAACAGTCAAGTCTCTCAACTTAGCCTGAGCGAGTAGGTTCCTGTTCTGTTCACTACTCAACGCCTTCGCTTCAAAGTTCATCTGAGCTTCTTGCATAAGAGAGTTGGTCTTCGAGATGTCCGAATGCACTTGTTCGGCTGCAGATTTGCTGTCTAAATTGGTAAAACTTCGTATGTGATCACTAAATAAGAATTATCTTGAATTTCGACTTAAGCTGTCGCATCAATTTCGAAATCTAAATGTCGCCGTTTTATTATAAAACATTGCTGGAATAGAGTTGTAAGTCACATTTATCGCCGAAACCAATTAACTTAAGACATCGCGAAACTACTCGGCTATTTTTCGACATTGAACTGTTGGTACACCACAATCTCTCCAAGCCAAAAAAATAGCTTTTCTCAGACCCCACACACCTAGAATAATGGCATCTCCATATTTATTTCTTTTTCACCAAAATTTATGTATTAGAAAAAATTGCACATAAAGTATACCAAAACCGAATAAACCGTTTTCAACACAAACATTTTGTTCCCATTGAACTGCTCAACTTAGCAGTACAACCGCGACCTAAACCACCCATCCCTCAATCCCGTCCTGCTTTGCGACTGCAGAGTATAAACAGATAGAAACAAATAGACCATGCTTCGACAACAAGCTACTGAAATTCTGTGACGCTAGACAAAAACGTAAGTCGCACAAGGGCTCTGTATCGTCACCAAGATGACCTGGGAAAAGATTTGCACTGAAATTAGTTGTCTGACTCACATGCTCTAGCGTATGCCACATCCTCCGAGTCTTCCCTTCCTGCTGCAACCCCTCCAGTCCTGCCTCTCATCTGACCAGACCCTATGGAGCTGGATTTTTTAGACTCCTCCATTAGTCTCCTGTTGAACTCCAGGTCTAGTCTTTGCCTATCCAAGCGTTTCCTTTCTTCAACCGTCAATTCAGACTGTCTCGCTTCCAATTCACCAACTGAGTGCACCAGTTGTTCGTATCTGCAGCAATATTCACTGTTGCATGGAAATTAACACGCAAAAATATCAATTCCAACTCAAACTCGCACAGAAGCGAAACAAATTAACTAGGTAAGTTTGATTGGTTCATAATAATCAATCAGTTTCAATTATTAACCTTCTAAATCAGGTCAAAAGATTCCTTCTCGTTTATTTCCCAAGCCTATTCGATTCATTAACTTCAGTTTCCTCGACGGACTATCAAAATTGTTGTTGAGTAATGAAAAAACTTATCGAACGAACAAACTATCGAAAATACCAACCTTATCTGATCTTCATTCATTCTTGCTTGCTGCGTCGTCTGCAGCGGTAAAGGCGGCGACTTCGAGTTCAGCACATCCGAGCGCCACGAGCTGTTGTCCGAGCTCGTATTCGGGTGCGAAGGCGACGACGAAGACATACTCAGAGACGAAGTTGCATTCACTGCTCTTAAATCTGTCCCCGAAGTATCCCCCGGAACACCACGATTATTTTGGTTCACTCTCCTATTTTCTCCTTCTTCGTACGAATTCATTAATTGCTCTTGACGCCAACTTAGCGGCGGTTCCGGGAAATTATCTCCACTTCCTCTCATTTCTCCTTGCGAAATGGAGCTTCCTGTATGTCTATGCGAATCCGGTTGAATCTGGTATGGTCTTGGGAACTTCTGTTGGTTTGCTCGACTTGGGTTATACGATGCAGCTACAGTCGATGTTTCACTCTCCTGCCTGCGTTTAAATCCTCCATTCGGAAAACTCGGATTATGAACTTGGTTCCCGTTCTGAGGAGGCGTATTCAATATTGGGTTTACTTCAGCTTGAATCATATTTGCGTTACGATTACCTGTATTTCGGTCTCCAACTGATACATCTCGACTTCTTTGAGAGCTATGAGTGGCCTGGTTATCGGAAATTCCGTTATTAACACGACGTCGACGTTCCATTGAGTTGTACTTCCCGTTCGGAACCTCATTAACTCGTGGGTTGTCGTTACTTTTCTGAATGTATCTTCCGCCTCGTGGGAGAGTAGCGGCTGCGTAGTCCATAACTTTCTGACTTTTGTCATCAATTCCGGGGCCACCTTGTCGTCGGTTTTCGGCTAATTTCTGGGCGTCATTAATGGTCGAATAAGGGTGGTTGACTTGAATGTTATCCACTCGATTCGGTTGCGAGTTATCAAATGATCCTCTGCGTCTGATGTTTCCATTTTGAGGCTGGCCTTGGAATGGCTCGTATGACGACTTAGTCCTGCCTGCTGAGGCGTCGCGAATACCTCTGTTGGAAGGCTGCGACTCTAAAAAAATCAACATATATTAAACTCAATTCAGAGATCCTCGCACATCGGCTTGATCAAATGAACTCAAATACCATCAAAAAAATTTTGCTGATCTGTAAATTTAACGCACAAAAACTGCGACTCTTAGTTTTTTCTCAAGGTCCTTCAGCTTTTTCATATCCCACCACCACCCCTGCAGCAACATAGCATGGCTTATAATATTGGGTGACACTCCATCAATGAAATGATTTTAACGTAAAACCAATTTCCAAAAAATGAATAGAACTGGGTACATGGACAGCACGTCAGGAAAAGAACGTAAGAAAATGTGGTCACGGAAAAAATAGCTATATAAATGCCTTGAGAGCTGCTTGCACGAACTCAACGATTCTACACGAGCTTCTCTTCGCAAACACTAGCGAGAACAGGACAAAAGCAGCTCTAAAAAATGCAATTATAAAAAGTAACCCACAGATGGCGGCCTAGAGATAACAAGCCTCACGCACTAACCACCGAGCCACGGACGCTTAATTGATCACAAACACCAGCCACAAATTAAGCAGAGAACAAATGCTCTAAAATTTTCAGGCTACAGATCGTGATTATAGCAAAAGTGCCACCAAATAAGTGAACACTTTTAATGAATACTTTTATTTGCGAGCTAGGCTAGAAAAAAAGAAGGTTCGTCGTTATACACTATGCTGATCACAAGTGTAATTACTGATGTGTGTGCCAATATAAACTGACCTCTGGTGATATTAGGCGGCTGCATCTGCGAAGGGATCTGCTGTTGAGTTGGGTAAGTTGTCTTCACCACATGCAGTCTGACTGTCTGTCCTGTTTGGGTTAATATTCGGGCAGCATCTTCTCTCGTCAGGTTCCGGAGACTGTGCTGGTCCACTTGCACTATCTGGTCACCCGCAGTGACACGACCGTCCTAAACATAAGATCTGCTTATAATCGCTGATTATAAAATCGATGAGAGTTTTCTACAAATGATCTACTTCTAATTATTTTTTGAACTTAGAGATCTGCGTATAATCGCTGATTATAATATAGATGAGTTTTTATAACCTACGACTTCTAATTATTATAGACAGTTTTAAATTTAGCTTTAGACAAAAACGCCGTACCACAGACTGTTCCGACTATTCATGTGCCAAAAATAAAACGAAAAAACCGACCCTGCTAAGTCTGACATTCAGGTTTCAACCTAAAGAACAGGTTGCGGGAATCACTTTCTGCTACTAGAAGAATTATCTTTCCTCCACTCCTTAAGGTCTTGTGATGGTTAAAATCCAAATGACTTTGATCAATTTTTTTTAGCCTTTGTCCATTTTCCCTGAATGCCCCGCTAATTCTGAGTTTCACAGGATTAACTTATTCTCAACCTAATCTTGAAACCTTAATCTCAGATTAAAACCTTGATCTCAGATTTGGTTTTTGAAACATAACCAACAGCCAGTTGGAAAAGAGTCATGAACGCAGGGAAATAGAAAAAACTTCTGAAAAAACTTCAAATTTTGAATTTCAAACAAAATATACACGAGCTTGAAGCTCTTTGAATATCAAAAACAATTAATTATCGACACTTTTTTGATAAAACTATCCCAACTTGAAAAAAAACTGGATCAAAATGAAAATTTTTCATTCCGCTATAAAAATTTTGAAATGAAATTTCACTTTCGGAACTAGAAGTCAATCACGTCTATCGTTATATTTACACTTATGCAGTTCAATAGTGCCTTCTTTTGAACAAAAAAAATGAACTGAAAAAAAAAAAACGATTCAAGCCGCGAAAAACCAAACCTGAGCCTGAACAAATTTTTACCACGAAAAAAATTTACCACGAACTAATCAAGAGTATTCACTATGTTCATGACTCTTGCACATGAGCTAAGTCTGAAAAACGGGAAGGTCGCTACAAGCTGTTTATTTTTTTCAAATGAAACCATATCTCATATTTGACGGGGTCATTTTCAAGAAATTTAAAGCAAGTGAACTTAAAGCTCTTTGAATTTTGAGAATATTCCATGATTGACTATTTTTAAATGAAACTACCCCAAGTTCGAGAAAACTGAATTAATTGCATTTTTCCTACACAAAGGCGAAGCTAGAACACATACCAAGAAATAGATTTAAAATGGTAGAAAGAGAAAAAAACTTTAATTTAGAACTTTAAACAAGTATGTATGGCCTTATAGCTTTTTTATTTTCAAGATCAATTTATGATTGGCATTTTTAGACAGAGGCGAAGTTGCACTTCGCATACACAAGCAAAAACATGACCGATAACGTTACTGGAAAAACTGAATGAGTAAAACATTGAGTCTATAAAATTTGTTAATTGACGCACGCCAATTATGAGTCTATATAATTGCTAAGTAATGCAAGGCAATTATGACGCATTAGCAGTCTAGTCGATTTGAAAAAAAAAAATTTACCATCTAACGTGCCTCAATTTATAGAGCGGGCGCATTTTATATAGTATACGAAAAAGTTCATTAAAATATCCGACCCTGCCCAGGTTCGAACCCTCTTATTTTAGTGCGGGTCTTCTTCCCTACCTCTACGCTACAGATTTATGATTACTTTGAAGCTAAAGTGCTAATTGTAAAATAATAGTATGTGTTAATATCTTTAGCATTGGCTGTACTTAATAGCTGTTTATTGATCTTATGCACATACTGCAAAAAATGGACAATTTCCAAATGAACAAAGAATTGCGATTTAGGTGGCATCAAAAAAACAAAGAGAGTTCAAACTATCCCACAAGGTTTGCTTGTGTAAAAAATTACCCAATTTGAACAAACTGGATCATTAGGTTTTTTATTCCGCTGGGAAATCTGAAAATTAAATTAGAAGTCGTGACCTTTACATTTTTACTGTTCAATAGTGGAGTTTAACATCCTTGAACAAAGAAGATGAACTGAACACAAACAACAAAACAGCAAAAATTGCTCTAAAAGGGTAAAATTGAAATAAAAAACGCCTTGAAAATTAAAACTTTTAACAAGTTTGGAATCGATACCCCGACCTACAGATTACAAGTCTCGTCTCCTCGCATCTGCGCTATAGTAGCTCAAGAATAAGAACATATAAGCTACCAATAAAGCAGATAGAACAGTATATCAAATTGGCAATGCTATGCAGCAAAGCGCCATCAAATGAGCACTTTTATTTGCGAGATTGGGAAAGGAGATTCATCGTATAATACTAAATTCGCTAGCTTGCTTGTTTAATTATATTAATTAACCTTGGCAAGAATAATTCATTCTAGTCAAACAAATTCAACAATAAAATTGACAATTTTTACAGGAAACATGGTTAAAGCTTTAAATCTAAAAGAGGTAAAAACGAAATAGTATCATGATATGTAATACCAAAACGACAAATATGTAGTTTTTTTGTGTTATGAGATTCTGTTTATCTAGGTTTTACATTAAATAGACACGCATGTTGTAATTTTTCATTAATAGACACGCATAGTCTTTGAAATTTCGTTCAATGTCAAGCGTGGATAGAAAGCATCTCCTCTCACACAAAAAATTTCAGATTTGACATCTTGGTATTGCATATCATCATACTATTTTCAACCTGCGTCTTGTGCATTCAAAGTTTTAACATGTTTTCTGTAAAAATTAATGATTTTTTGTTTCACTTGATTGACTAAATAGGAACTGATTGTTTCGTCGCTACACTGCTTCAAAATGAGACTTTGAGAGTAAAATAAGCAACTGCGACATGCTTACCCTATCTGCAGCTCCTCCAGGCATGACTGACTTCACTAATATTGCACGTTCAGGTCCCATCTAAACATAATGCCAATATTATGCAAGAAATTCCATATTAATTAGAAGAAATTGATCACAGCCCAGGTAACGATTTTAGAACTCATATCAAGAGGAATTAATTTCGCCGCAGTTTTTTTTAAAGCAAATCCTAAAGCAATATAGCCACATGAGAATGATTGCAATACAATATAAAATGACAGCATTGCAAAGGGCAGACTAAAGGCAAATTACTCGCCCCACTATAAGTCTACACTAAAACTAAACATTTTACGGAGTTAAAAATTTCCTTAATCAACATTTAAGAAAATTCTAAAATTAAAACAATATGTAAGCCAGGCAGGATTTATAAAAAACATGACAGCGTCAGCATTCAGTTACTTTTAACATATTTACTGGAAAGAAAAAGAAATTTTTATTTTAAATATCCAATAAATACTCTTGAAAAATTAGCATTTCTCCGATAAACAAAAACCATACCAACATTACTCTCATGGTAGCGATGTCTTTTTTGGATCTACTTCGCAATTAATAGATTCAACAGCAAAGTCAATAAGTTTTTGCAGATTTCAACAAACGATACCAATATTGGACACAAAAGTCCGGACCAAGTACGCCAGCTTAGTATATTGATTTTAGTTGCTCAATTGTGGGGAACAAAAAACCGTAACTCAACAATTTCGTGCAATCTGTCAGAACGGTATACTGTTTTAGTAAGAAACTGATCACAAAATTTATAATTTGAGAAAAATTGCTTGTATAAACAGGAAATAACATACTAAATGCTGCTCAGACTTGGTGCGAACGTTAATTTGACAAGATTGGTTTTTCTCCGTTTAATATTAAACGGCTAAAGCAATCTTCAATAACATTTTGATAATAAATGCAATTTTCGGTTTCCTTTTCCTTCTTTTTTTAAAATGAAATCCGGCAGGTAATCAATTGGGGCCGCCTCTGTGCTTTGACTAATCAAAAAAAAATTTTGTTATATGGCAATAAAAAATGCATTTTAATTATATGCACAGATATGGTGCTATGTAAAAAAAACAACAGGATATTTAGTTAAACAGGCTTTTAGACGACAAATTTCAGACAGAGGCGAAGTTGCACTTCGCATACACAAGCAAAAATATGACGAATAACGCTACGACGCATTAGCAGTAACAGTCAAAAGAAAAAAATTACCAATTGCACATGCCTCAATTTATAGAGCGGACGCATTATAGCTAGTATAAGAAAAATTTCATTAAAAACATCCGACCCTCCCCAGTTTCGAACCCTCTTATTTTGTTGCGGGTCTCCTCCCTACCTCTACGCTACAGATTCATGACACCTTGAAGCTTGATTTCTATTTGTAATACGTAACTGCTCGTATCAGGGCGAAGCCCCGAACGTTATGACTGCCTTTTGAGGTCTATGGAGCAGTAATAACATGAAAAAATTAAATATTAAATAAAATAAAATGAATTTTTTTTAACTTGAGATTTTTGTGAAAATCATCACCACACACGCCATATAATGTACAAAGTGATAAATTTCACTCCTAGTATTAAATCAATTATTGCAAATAAGCTTCCTTCAACCAAATTGGAACGATTTCTATGACGAAAGTCGGAATAATAGTCAGTTTTAAAATCCTTAGCATTGGCTGTATTTAATAATTGGTTATTGATCAAAATGAACACTTTTAAAATGAACACATTTTATCGCAACAATATTAGCGTCGCAACAAAATTTGCGACTGAGGTTGGGAAAAGAAAGATAGTTTGTACTATAACACAAGCTATGCTTGTGTACTAAAATTAACGTTTAAACATCCAAGAAAATAGCCAATTGACAGTTGGAAAAGACTAATGAACGCCAGGAAACTGACTTGTTTTTCGAAAAAAAACTTCAATTTGCGAATTATTAAGAAAAATATATCCCCAAAAACATATGCCGACTCTTGAACAAAACTGATGCTACCCTTGCCTACTGTTTCCTTTAAAAAAAGCACTGACTAGTATCTCGATTTCTGAAAGGAAGAAATCGAACAGAGGTAAATATTACGCTAAATTTGTGAGCAAATGCGATGCTAAGTAAATAAGACGAATGAGAAATGCAACAGGAACGTTTGAGTTGGTGGCCTGTCATTGGACATAATAGATGAAAAGCAAAAAAGGTCTACAGGTAGACAGAGGCGAAGCTGCGCTTCGCAAAAACTAGCAAGAACTTGACAAAAAAGTGAAACAAGATAAAGTAGAAATAAGCCTGAAATTAGAAAAAATATATAATTCTGCCACGCGACGGATTTGAGCCTGTGACCTAGAGATTAAGAATACCACTCCCGAACTTCTCAGCCATGGACGCTTAACAATCGGCAAACACTAGTCACAAATAAAGCAGACAACAGATGCTATGAAAGAAATTTTTAATGCTACAGATTGTGATTATTGCAAAATTGCCAATCAATGAGCACTTTAAATTGCGAGTTTGGTTTAAAAAAAAACAACAAGTTTCTATAATCTACTACGTTTGCCAGCTTGCTAGGGTAAAAAAAATTGGATTATACGAGCTTAACTAAAAAAAATGATCGTCAATATTACCAATGAAAAGTTATATAACCCATTAATTGGGAACGATATTTTTTTCGAAATTCTTTGAAAACAAAACTTACTAAATAACTAAATTTATATATAATTTATTCATTTCATATGTAGTATTGACAATTCTAGTAATTGTCTTTGCAGAATCGACCATGAAAATCAAGAATTTTCCGTTTCTCTTCTTTCAGACCCGTTCCGCTCTTAGACCATTCAGCTTATTGCAGAATAAACTTGTTATTTGAAAAACCTTTAACTTGGAAAACTTAGCACAGAGGTGAAGCTGCGCTTTGCTATCACTAGCGAGAGCACAACAAAAAAGCAGCTTTATAAAATGAAAAAACAAAAACTGAAATAAGCCTCGAATAAGTAAAACTTTGCTACGTATTGGCTTCGAACATAAGACCTCGAGTCTGACGCCCTGCCCTCTCGGCTACGAGCTCTTAACAATCGGCAAAAACTAGCCACAAATAAAGCAGCTACATATGCTAGTAAAATGCCAATGCGATGCAGCAATGTGGATTCAAATACAAATAGACACATTTATTCAATTAATAATTTGGAATTCTACAAACTGAAGGCATCCACACTAACTTTGCAAGTATTAAATTGAAAAGCTTTAAGCCACATTATGCATTTCCAAAAATATATCAAGTTGGAAAATTTCTGAAATCGAGTTTTTTTTGATATGTTGTTTGAAACAAATAGCTTTTTTTTCGGTTCAATTGATAAATTAAAAATGCATCAACCGTGTTAACATATTACTATTCGAATGACAAAGCACATGCAATCAAAAAGCCATAAAATACCAACCAAAATTGGCACCAATATTTGTGACTTTGCTTAGAAAAAAAAAAAGAATAGTCGCACTAATTATTATATTACCCTCACTTATGTTGGCTAAAGAATATATATATTCGCTAAAACGATACAAAAAGACAAGTGGAGCGCCTTGAAACTTCGCTCGGGTATTCTGACAAATAAATTACATTATCGAAATAAAAGACGATCACGTTTTCCGCGTGAACTTTATATTTCCGCTGTTCGATAGTTGATGGTGCCTCCTTTTATCAGAAAAAAAAGAACTTAGAAAAATCAAATGCAAACCGCGAAAAGTCAAAATCGACTCTTAAAAAATCAAAATGCGAAAGTTGCATTAAGCAGACGAGCAATGAAATGGCAAAAAAAAACTTTATTAAACAGTCAAAAAGTAAAAACTGCCAACATACAGATAGAAAAGAAATAAACGCAGAAAAAACTTACTAGAAGTCCTTCACTCTTTTCGTGACTTTACGCTGTTGCTGTTCTACAGCGGAGTTTGTCTTTTTTTGAAAAAGCAAAAGAACCGAATTTGAAATGAACTCAATAGTTAAACTGCGAGAAATCAAATTTGAGCAAAAGCAAGTTTTAAAAATTTTTTTCTGAAAAAAGTTATCACAATCTATATAAGAGACTTCACTATCTTCACCTATTCATAATCAAACATCTAACTTTCTAATTTCTCGATTTCAAAACTGAGATTTTTTCGTCTAAAATCATCAGTAAAATTTTGTCTAATTTCTCTCTTTCCTAATCTCAACGAACCGTTTCTATTAGAGCACATACCAAACAGACAATTGGAAAAGAGTCAATGAACGCATGTAAACAAAAAAACACTGACTTGTATTTTTAAAACTTCAAATTCCGAACTTCAAAGACAAAAAAGTGGCCTCAAAGCTCTTTGAAACAGTATATGACAGACAGTTTTTTAGTAAAATTTACTCACTTCGAGAAAACTGGATCAATAGTTTTAACTTTTTATTCCGCTTGGAAATCTAAAAACCAACCCCACTTTCGAAATAAGAATTCGATCACGATTTTCGTGACTTTAATTTTTTGCTGTCAAAAGTCTAGTTTACCTTCTTTTGAACAAAGAAAAAAAAACAGAGATTGAAAAGAACATAAATTTTAAAAAATGAAACGTCAAACTGCGAATTATCAAAGAGAGCGTGAACGAAATTTGACTTTGCCTAAAAAAAAACAAATCATGACCTATATGAGTCTTCACTGGGTTAATCTAATTTTAATAAAACGACATCCATTTCGTATAATTTCTCCTCTTTCAAATTGAGTGATGAAAAGGTATATGGCCTTTTTTGACAAAAAATAGATCAAAAAAGCTTTTTGAATTTATGGTTGACATTTTTTGATAAAATTATCCAACTTAAAAAAACTCAATCTGTAGGTAAAAATTTGATTCTACAGGGAAATCAGAACATAGTTAACGAAAAGTTTGAATGAACAATTCAATGAACGCAAGAAAACAGAAAAAAAAGAGAAAACATTTTTTCTTGGAAAACTTTAGTTTTCGAAAATAAAAGAAAAAAGTTGGCCTTTGAAAAGCTCTTTGAAGCTCAAGGAGAATTAAAGATTGGCATTTTTTTGTTAAAATTAATCCAATTTGAAAAAATTGGATTATAAGTTGAAGTTTTTTTATTTCGCTAGGAAATCTAAACATTAAATGCCACTTTCGAAACTAAAGTTGAAGAAATTTACTCTTTTGCTTCTTAAAAGAGGTTATCTAAAGTAGATCATTTTTCATATAGCAGAATCAGAAAAAGAGTGTACTTTTTCGATAGTGTGAAAATTTTACACAGATGCGAAGCTGAGCTTCGCATTACTTACGATACAAAACAGGAAAGCCGCTTGAAACAAAAAAATTCGAACAATCTAGATCTATCAAAATGAATAGAGGTAATTTTGAAACGAAAAAACAAGCCAAGACAATAGAATGTAAAATTCGCATCGAACAAAATGATCATGCAGCAACAAAGACGAAAACACCTTAGCAGAAACCCTATATGCCGAAAAAAATCAACAAGACTTATTAAAATTTGTTATAAAATAGGCCGAAAACCGATACAAAATAAGCCGCAAAAATAAAAAAATAAAAAAGCCGAAAAGAAACAAAAAATTATTAAGTCCCCCTCACCCTCAAAACACACACACAAAAAAAACTTTTTCGCTCCCCGAAAGACGCAATATGACGGCAGTCAGCCGATATATCATATTCAGAAATTTGTAAGGCTGAACGAAAAATAAAATAAAAAAAAACAGGGCAGATATGTAAATTCCCAACAAGCACAACATATATCTGTTGCGGTAAATTGGTTATCTGTAGCAATAAATTGGTTGCTAAGAGGCTTCAAGGAAATGAGTCCAGATGAGAAGAGTCCTGTGAACAAAATTGTTTACGGTAAAAAAGTCTAGTACGCGATTGCAATACCCTTGCTTATTGCAGGGGTAAACATCTATTTCGTATTGCAATACCCTTGCTTATTGCAGGGGTAAACATCTATTTCGTAAAAAGTCAAATTTTGCGAGAAAACATTGATTTGCTTGATATTGCAAAGTCAATCATTAACAAACGGCGTTTTCCCTGATTTGCAAATTAATTTGATAACCTTATATGGGTTCGAGAAAAATGATTGAATGCATTAAGTTTGAATCTCTCACCTGCTGGGATACAATACTCAGTCCCAAACTGTTGTTTAACTTTTTCAACTCCACCACAAGTTTGCCACTAGGCCTCCTTTCTTTCTCCTCTTCGCGCTTCGGAATTCCATTTTGCTTCGGATTCTGACTCGGTGCCATAGGCGGCAGAGCTCGGGGATTACTTGGATCGTCCTGAAAAGTCACTGCACGTTTAACAGCCGTTACTCTAACACCATTTCTAGCCATAGGTTTCGGGGGCTCAACTTTAATTCGTGTAAGCGAAGAACTACTTTTGGAATGATGTCTTCCCTCTGACTTAAATGAAGAAGTTGAAGGCCGCTCTTGAGTGGAATGAATTCCCAACATCTTCTTGAAAAAACTCTCGCGCCGTCTTGGTAAACTTCTAGACCTCGATTCCATATCTCTATTGTTTATTGTACTCTCTAGGATTCTTTCACATTAACGAGTTATCGAAAACGTTTGTGTCAGACTTAACAATTGAATTTTATTTCGCCATTTGTCGAAGTAAACTAAGAAAACCACATACGCATAAATAGTTCAAGAACTATTACATGACCATTACAAATCCGACAAATAGCTTCATGGATTTAGAATATTCACTTACTGTCATGTCATTTCGAGACTACCAGTAACAATTAACAGTTAAATTAAAGTGACATTTAATCACTGTTTTTGTTCTTATAAGATCAAGAAAGTCCCTATAGCTATGCCTAACAAGGAGAGGGCATGCAACCCAAGTTAAATTGTCCAATTGCAATTCGGATTTCAAAAACGAGCCGGGTAGCAGCTTAATAAAGTTCTCAAAATCACGAGAAAATTCCGATCTTAAAAAATGGCGCACTACCTAAATGTGATTGGGCTAGCATTTGGATAAGTTGCTCTACTCAGCAAAATTGACGACTATTTGCTAACAGACGGACCAATTGACAAAAAAATTGTGACAAATCAGATTGTACTACACTAATTCTCAAGCTTTTCTGGCTAATTTATTTCGAACAATCGAATACTTAACCCTGATTGGCCCATAAACTTTTCGGCCATTTGGTCACTCTGCTATGCATACAGGATTACCCTGCCAAATTACTTGCGAGCCGAGTGCAACGTAAAATATACATGAAATCGAGCTCACGTAAAGGGATAGATTATTAGGGTGGGCGTCTTTAGAAGGCAAGGATGGCTGTTGTTGTTGGTTGAATGGATCGATGTGGTCAGGGTAGAGGTACACGTCCCATCTCTGGGAGGGATCTGGTAGCACTGAGATGTAGGCTATTTTGTTGTCCATCAACGGATTGAGGAACTTCTCGAATGCTTGAGAAAGGCCGAGCACGTTGTCTGTGGCGAATCCGTCATCTGGCATTCGGAAAAGTGCTCTAGATTGAAGGTCTTCATCAAGCAGAACCTAAAACAAATGTCAAGCACAATCAGATACAGCCAACATGCAAACTTCCTTGAGATGATCAAAGTTGGTATGCTATATCGCTTGAATTCACCAAGCTCGTTGAGAAAAAAATAAATCGGAGAATCGGAACGTTTTTTTTTCTGACAATTAGAATCGGCCAGGAAAACAATGCCCTCTTTTACTCCGTGTAATAGAAAATAAAGGTCAGCTAGCTGATTAAAGCTTCAAAATATAGCCAATCGAAGATTGGAAAAGAGTAACGAACGGAAATAAACCGAAAAATAAACACTGAATTTGTTGCAAAAAATCTGAAAAACTTAAAAGAAACAAATTGATGCCCTTTTAGCTCTTGAATTTCTGAAACAATTTATGACTGGCGCTTTTTTGATAACATGAACCCAACTTGAGAAAACTGGATCAATGGGTAAAATTTTTATTCCGCTGGGAAATATTAAAAATAAATCCCACTTTCGATACAATGCTGATTTAAATTAACCGGACAAAACGCGTTAAACTTGAAATTTAAAACGCATTTTTCTCAAATTGGGTTGAGTTTAGGTGAAAACTTATGAAGCCAAAACTTGCTTACAATTTTAGTAGAATTAATATGGTGTATTTTGTTTTGCAAAATTCGGTCCCGAAATTTTACCCCAAAAATGGGTCAGTTTGGCTTTTCTTAGTTAATCAAAAATTACGCCGAAAACACCCAGTCGATCACAGGCATAATTATATGAAAGTGAGCCCCTTACATAGCCCAACAAATTTTAAGAAAGATGTTTTCTCCAAAAAAATGCAAATTGTTTAAAAATCGTTTTTAAATCAAAAGTGGGTATTTTATATATTCTATCAAACAAAAATAAATTAGTTTACACAATAATTTGGAGAATATACCCTGCTTAAAAATTGTTGGGCTACGTAAGGGGCTCACTTTGATATAATTATGTCTGTGATCTATTTGTCATTTTTGGCGTAATTTTTGATTAACTAAGAAAAGCCAAAATGACCCATTTTTACGGTAAAATTTTGGGCCCGAAATTTGCAAAACAAATTACACCATATTAATTCTGCTAAAATTTTAATCAAGTTTTGTCTTCATAAGTTGTCACCTAAACTCAACCCAATTTGAGAAAAACGGATTTTAAATTTCAAGTTTAACGCGTTTTGTCCGGTTAATTTAAATCAGCACTGTACTAGAAATCGTTTACGTTTTTTGCGCCATTTCCACGATCGTCTTTAGTGAGGGCTATTAACGTAACTTACAGAGGACGAATTTATGTTGAGCTCAAACGTGCATATATAACTAAGTGCATTCATAAATGTAGTTATTAGAAACTTTTGGCACATTATCCTGAAAAAATTAGCAAGACCTATATAAGAATCTTCACTACGTTTATTACTCTTAATTAATATTTTTCCGCCCCCTTAGCAGAATTTCATTTTTGCCAAGAGGCAAAGCTGTGCTTTGCAAACACTAGGGAGAACACGACAAAAGCAGCTCTATAAAGAGCAATAAGCAAAAGTAGAAATAAGCCTCGAATTAGAAAAAATTTCGGCTACGTCTCGAATGCGATCTGTGACCGAGAGATTATGAGTCTCAGGCACTAACCACTCAGCCACGGATGCTTATAACTCACAAACACTAGCCACAAATAAAGTAGAGAACAGATGCTATGAAATTTCAAATGCTACAGATCGTGATTATCACAAATAAGTGAACACTTTTAATTGCGAAATAGGCTGGAAAAAAGGTGATAAATTCATACACTAAAGCTGGTTTATGTAAACTTAGGGGCGCAGCCGAGCTTCGCGCCACTTGCGGCGCAATAAAAAATTAGCACGTCAGCTAGTCGATAAAAACTAGGACGAAAAACACAGCAGAGAAAACAAAACTAATGATTCTGAAACAAACATTCGTGATTTGAGACAAACAATAAAATATTCCTTTTTGATAACGCTTGCTAATCTCAAGCTCAATAAAATCTCAAGCGTTTGTCTCGAATGCGGTTCAAATTGATGAAAATAATAGCCAACAGTCAGTTGGAAAAGAGTCAATGAGCGTAAGGAAACAAAAAGTGCTGACCTTGTTTTTTGAAAACATACCGAAAACACAGTTGGAAAATGGTTAATGAACGCAAGAAAACAAAAAATACACTGACCTGTTTTTTTTGAAAAGTTAAAACTTCAAACTTCAAAGACAAAAATATAGCCTTTAAGATTTTCAACTTCTAGAACAATTTATAGTTGACACTTTTTTTTTGATAAAATCGACACAATATGAGAAAACTGGATCAATCAGTAAATTGTTATAATCTGAAATGTAAACTGCAATGTGGTCAAAGCACTTGACTGGCTGATTGAATAAAAGTTGACTGGTGCATCAGCCACCTCCTGAGCTTCTAACAAATTGATGAGCGAAAAAATTGCTTATAAGCACAAAGATAGCCGGTTGCTGTGCAAGAAGCACAAAGATTCGACCACATTCACATATATATTTTTAGTAAAATTAACTTTTTTCCGGCTAAATGGCCAATATTTGACAGTCATACGAAAAAGAAAACCAAAAAATATATCAAAAAATCAAATTTTTTTTTTGCAGTAATGTTTTGAATTTTTGAAGCCATTAAATAACAAATGGCGCTTGAAAACTCCAAAACAGTTTTACTGACAGTTGTACGGCAAAAATGAGCTATTGTAAGCTGTCTCCCTAGCAAAATTTGCTCGAAATTGGACTAAAACCCAAAAATTGTCAGCCGGTTTTTCTCAACACTGGGAAAACTTTTTGGAAAATTTTTTATGTCGCTTCGAATCACGACTGATATGACTGTAATATGATATATTACTAGACCCATTCCGATGATTATTTGAGGTATCTGATTTCAAGAGGATAACAAAAAAAACTAAAACACACCGGAAGACGAAGTTCCTCTGCATTTTTCAAATATTCGGAACAAAAATTATTTGAAAAACGAATTTAATGCAACCTCATGAAAAGACAGGGGAATTCAACAACGCGTTTTATTTCATAAATTGAAACAAAACATTCAACTTGAAGGTTTCTTTTAAATTAAAATGGTCAAATATCAAAAATTACTGCGTTTCAGGTCTTCGTTATGTTAAATTAGAAATAAATCCCTACAATGGCAGACAGCATTGAAATTGAAATTTCCACATTTAAACATAGCCAACTAACAGTTGAAACAGAGTAATGAATGTAAGGAAACTGAAAAAAAACTGATTTGATTTTTCAAGAGCCTCAACTTTCGAACATAAAAAGACGTCAAAAAAGCTTTTTGAATTTGTAGAACAATTTATGATGGACACTTTTTTGTTAAAATTAACCCAATGTGAGAAAACTGGATCAATAGGCGAAACTTTTATTTCGCTGGCAAAATCTGATTACTGATTTCCATTCTTGAAATTAGAAGACGCGTACAAGATATTTATTCACGCTTGCGATAAACAGGCTTAATCAAATTGGATTATAGACTTTTTCTAGTTGAAAACAATTTTAAAAAAATAATTTGAATCACTGGCTGACACTTTTTCACTTCTCTTTACATCTTCCAGGTTGTTTCCCCGCTGGCCTGGAGGTAAATAAGTTGGCCTTGTAACCTAAGGTCGGGTTCGAGTCGTGGTCGGACCTTGTTTTTTTCATCATCAAAGAAATTGAAATAAAAATTGCGAGAAAAATGAATTGTTGCTTTTTCGTTAGTTCGCTCAAGTTTCGTCGGCCAAATTGCCAAAACGGATTTTGCTTGTGCTGCAGACAATTTTCGTTGTAGTAACACAATTGCAAGTGTTGTTCATTCTAACTTCAGGGGGGCTTTAAAGATTTTTTCAAAAAATTTCAAAAAAAAATTCATTTTTCTTTTTCGGTTCAGTTGGTGTCTGCTCAAACATTGTCGGCTTAGTTGCCACATCACTCATTTTTCTTGTACTCTAAACAGTTTGTATAAAATAAAGAACATTTGAAACTTTTTTAAACATCATTAAAGACGTCATATCTCGATAACCACAAACAATTCAGCAGTTTCATTTGAAGAAGAGCAATGTTATATCTGAGACTACCCTGGCAGTACCCAGCTATAAGGTTCTGAAATTCCAATTTTTGAAAACATCCTGAGAAATTACACTGGCAGCATCCAAGGACAGGGTTTTGAATTTCATATACTTACTTTGTAAAATCTGCAATTTCCGAAAATATTGAAAAATTGCAACATCTGCAAAACACTCTGACAGTATACAGTTATAGCGAAACTCAAAATTCACAGATAAATTTTTCAGTTTTTTTTTCAAAAGCACTAAAAACGTCATATCTTGTGGAAAAAGCCGTTGAAATGTTATATTTGAAAGTAAGATTTAAAATAACTAAGGATGAGCTGACTTATAAATGAATTTTTTAAAATAAAGATTTCTGAAAACTTTCTGAAAAAACATAAGCATCAAATCTCGGAAAAATGGAGAATTTGTGCAGTCACTAGGTGCAGTTTCTAGGTACGATTTGCAACTCTTGAGTACCCTGACAGCAACGAACTACCAAGTTGGAAAATTTCAAATTCTATATTATTTATGAAGAAATTGCAAAAATTGTCGTACCTCGTAAGCTTAAAGAATTTGGGTATTCATAACTGGAGGCCAGACTCGCAACCACTGCGAGAACACTAACACTAACCCACTATCGGGTTGCTACTTTCAAAATGGTTGAAATAAACACCAAATTATAAATTAAACACTGAAAGAAAAAAAAACATTACAATATACGATGACGCTTAAACGTGAAAAAATTCTGACGTTGTACATGCGAAAATATTCGTTGAAAAAACTTGAACATGGCGAGATACTGACACCCGTGTTTCATTATATACAGAGAGGCAAAGCTTCGCTAAAACGTCAAAAAGCAGCTCTATTAAAAGCAATAAGAAAAAATAGAAATAAGCCTCGAATGAGGAAAAACTCGGCAAAGTCTCGGATTCGATCTTCGACCTAATGCGACCTAGGAT